TCCCCAGCCATAGAGACCGGCATCAAGCACAGGACACCGTCTCACCAGCCTTACTTGGACAGGATTGCTGTTTCCTACGGACATCTCATCCAGTGCAGAAAACACCATCAGCCAGTACGTGCACCGGGAGAGCTGTAAAGCACTCGTGCCACTTCTTTCCAGCACGGAGCAAAACACAGGCTGCTGCTGTAACGCAGGAAGTGTTAAACCGAGAGCTCACGGAGGAGGAGGTTAGCAGGCACACGTCTGTCATGTACAGCGAAGCTGCAGAGCCGCCAGACAAAAGCCAGGTTCCTGCAGCCTCTCCCAGGCTTTACACGCTCCAGTTTCCACCCAACAGCTCTTTGGATGGCAACCCATCCCGAGCCAGCCGGCGGTGAGCCGTGCCAGTGCCAGGCACAGCCAGCCCTCCCCCCCAGCCACCCCGTTGCCCCAGCCCCGGATCCATCCGCAGGCAGGTTAAGGAGGCAAAGCTTTAGGCATCGATCCAGGACACAGCTTGAGCTTGCATCTCCCAAAAGAGGACATGGGGTTCTCCTCTGAAAAATCTACCTTTTTAGCAGCTCTCTGCCTTGGAGAGATTTCAGAGAGAAATCACAGGGCTGCGGTGCTGCAGGGGTTCAGGGCACCCGCACTGATTTCCTCATTTCTGGTTTGGAAAATCTCCCAAACACAAAGAGAGAACAAAACTCACACCGGCCACCAGAAACCAGCCGGAACTCAACGATGCTCCAGCCAGCGATCGCGCTCTGCTCCTCAAGCGATGCTCTGCGCAAACCCGAACAGAGGAGCCCGTTTCCTTCATCACCGATGAATTTCTTTACCCCTAGAAAACTTGCAGAAGTGCCACACTTGTGAGTGCCACGATGGTTTCCAACAGTCTCCCGCTGCCGTCGAACAGACTTTCCAAGCTTCCCTGCATACGTTTTGTACCTGATGACCCCACGCTCGCTGGAAGAAAAGGGATGAAATCCACTCAAGAACCACTTGCTTATTGCTGATTTGGGTACAACAATGTCAAATGCAACAACATCGTTTTTACCTCCCGGCGATCTCCCTGCCCCAGCGCTGGCACACAGCACACCCAGCCACCGGAGACCGGCGTTTCCCACCGAAGGGATGAGAAGCTCACACCCAGCCTGCTGGTTTTGTAGCCCTCACGAGGGTCCATCTCTACAAGTTGTAATTCATTAAGCAAGAGCAATACTCAAAACTTAAGTTCAGAGCTTGCAGTAGAACCTAGCTCACCCAAGGCTCCTGCTGGAAATTTTCCAGAGTTTTAACAGTTTATTTTGTGGGCAGGAAGAGATCAAGAAAATTAATTAAGGCAGAGTAAGAAGAAAAAACTCCCCTTTAAGTGAGTAACTGCACTAAAGCAGCAGCCGTGAGCACGCCAAGTACATTTTAAGGGCTCTGCATTTTCACTTCCAGTCTTGGAAAAGAAACTGAGTGACTTTGTTCTGTATGCATATTGTCCACCATTTGTTATTGTCTGTCTATTGATGCTTACTTGAAAAACAAAATTTAATTAAACCCCACAGTACTGCATAGCCCGTCTGTGAAATATGCCTGCATTAGTGGATCATTACAGTAAATGAAATACAGCTTCGTACTGTATTTTTCAAACAACATCCCAAAACATTTACAAATTAAATAATACTCTTGCAGAGAGAAATTAAGAGACACGGTGTTTAGCAAGGGCAAAGAGATGTTTACAGATGAAGTCTGAAACGAGACGTGGAGGCAGAGAGGCGCTGGAGGACTCTTCTAGACCTTGTCAAGACGGATATTCACGTACCAGAAACCAGACAAAGAGCGTGCCAGCGCCAGGCGAGCAGAAAGGGCAGAGTGCCCAAACCCCCACGGATGTCAGCACAAGCCCGTCCAGGGTCTGGGGTACACTGGCACAGTCTGCCAAGCCGGGGAGGTGCCTGCGCTTCTCTGCATGCAGGAGAGCTCAACACACCCTTTGCACCCTTTGGAAACCCGTTCAGAGCCCCACCAGACATCGGGAAGCGAACCCTCGCAACCCAGACCCTCAACAGGCTGAGAAAAGGGATGCAGAAAGGTGCTCTCGTGGCAGGATGAGAAATATAGTGCTAATATTTACAGGGAAGAGAGAAACAAAGGGAGCTTTGGTCTCTCAGGGTAAGTAAAAGCACAAGCAGGTGAGTCAGGTGTTGGTCACAGCAGCAATGACTGATGATGAACAAAGCAAAGGCACGTGTTAAAAAGCAAGTGAATATTACATGAGCCTTGCAGCTCAGGCTTGAAGAGATCCAAGATTTGTCTTTTCCTTAATAGCATCTGGGGCAATGCCAAGCGTTCTTTGACAAATCATTTACTCCGAGAAATCATTTTCCCTAAACAAGCGTAGCCCACTACTGCATCCTTCTTCACGGGAGCCTGGAAAAGGCTGTGCCCTGCAGCTCCTACAGCCCCGTCTCCATGGTGATGCACCGATGCGGGTACCGACTCCAGCAAGAAGGCAAAGCTCCCCAAAGAAAAGGCTGAAGATGGCAGAGCTCCCACTGGCACGAGCCCTGGAGAAAGGTGGGCTGCGTGCGCCGAGCGTGAGCAGCGCTGGCGGACAGGGCTTGCGCCAGGAGCGGAGCATGCTGGAAATGAAGAAGAAAACCTTGCAAGGGCACCTCTGGATCCATTTTACAGAGCTGCTTCCCACGCCAGGGATCAGCAACCGACAGCCGGATTCCCATCGGTCCTGCTGAGTTCTCATCAGCACGTGAATCTATTATTTAGAGGAAAAATGTTCAGCTTGGCATACAATCATCGAAAACCATCAACTTCCAGCCTATGCGGGGCTTCGTCTGTGGAAAGAATCCTTCTCTGTGAACCAGGGACTCCTCAGCAACTTCATGTCACAAAATTAAAACGAACAGCTGCAGCACGAGGCGATCCATTATGCATTGCCCTATCAGTCCTACAACAATAATGAGCACTGGGACCCCAAGACACTACACAGCACATAGCAAGGTTGGGCAAAAAACACCAGAATATAGAAAATGGCAGTCCAGGATCCTTCCTAAAGGAAAAATGTGGTGGCAGAGGGGCATTGCGAGTGACATTGGTGTTGAGCAACCTGGTTTAGGGACCCTGACAGTGCAGGGTGAATGGTTGGACTCGATGATCTTGAAGGTCTCTTCCAACCAGATTCTATGACATAACGGAGCTGGCACACAGAGCACCCTTTCAGCACTGGGGAAGGAGACTCCAATGAGGCTGTGCGGGTCCAAACTGTCAAAGGCAAAGCAAGTGCAGCACTCGTGCACTAGCAAGGCGGTTGGCTCCTACCTGCTGACCTGCCCCCCTCACCTCCCATGCCAAAGCCTCCTCCGTCAGGATCAACATCCCACACCCACTCGCCCGCACACCCCGGCACCCACACTCCCATCAGCGGGCAGCGTGAAAGACGCCCCGCAGAACCCAGGCAGCTTCAGGCTGGCTTTGTGCTTTCCAGCCTGTGGCAAAGCCTCACTGACACTTAAAAGCAGCTGCATAAAAGATGAAGATTGCTGAGCCTCCTGCAGCCTTCCCGAGGTGAGAGCAATCCGCGCGCGCCGTCATCATCAGGCAGCAGGAACGCGCTGAACGCGGGGCGGCTAGACCGCGGCGCGAGGTTACAAACGACCAGGCTTCCCATTCACAGGTATTTCAAGTGCTCACCAGCACTCTTTTCCACCTCCGAACACACCCAGGCTGAGGTCTGAACATTTAAAACAGACCAGACTGCTGCTCCCAGTTCGCTGGAGGAAATAAAGGGAATGAGATGTCCGATAGAGAGGAGGCGACGCAGCCCAGACTCCTCTGGAAGTGCCCTACTACTGCGGCTCAAGGTTAAACATCCCATTTGCACTAATTTCTCACTCTGCCTCTCTCAAAAGCCGTGCCAGGTAATTAGAATCATTATAACTATTATTAGACCATAATATTATTATAGCATTTTTGCTACACTTGACATCTGTTGGCTGATAGATTTAACTGGTACATAAGAAATAATTGCACAGAGATTTCTTGCAAACGAGCACCAACACGGAAGACAGTAAAGCGTTCTGTGTTGAAAAAGTTAATTTTATGGAAGCATGCTTGAAATAAAAACTCTAAAATTAACAGTTAAACCTTTAAAAACTTTCATTAAAGAAACCAGCTGGGTTTAAAGTAGGCAGCGGTTAAAAAAATTCCTGTCTTTTCTTTAGATGCTTAAAGGCATATACCTGACTCGGTACGCATCTTCTTCTCGCCTACTCCAGTGACCCAGAGGTTTCTAAATCACCCTCCCATCCTCCTCCTCCTCCCTCTGCAGCAGGCTTTTGAATGCTCTGGGCAAAGAGCCTGACTGCGCAGAGAACCAGCATAATCAGAACTCTTACAACCTGCTCACTGAAAATCATATGGAATTATCAGCAAACACACATCTAGAATAAAATACAGCTTCTTGCATCCCACGAAGCTCAAAGGGCTTTGCAAACTGGACTCGGGATGCAATTTATTCACCACTGAGACTCAGCTGTAATCCAGAGAGGAACACAAACCTTTCTACCAGTATTTAACTAGAGTACGCAGCCCCCGGAGAGAAGTAAGGAAGAATCCAACAGAAACCACAGGAATGCTTTAGGGAGGCTGAATTTTCTCCCCTGGAACTGAAATTTGGTCAGGACACCCACCATCAGTCGTGGACCACTAAAGCAAAACAAACAGGGCACAGTGTCTCCATCCTGTCGATGATGTCCTTGAAGCACGGCCTGAGCAAACAGCTGTGGTCGGGTACCTGGCCGAGTTCCTCAAGGTACCAGCCTCGAGAGGTGGAAGAGATGAAAACCACAGAGGAACCCTGTGCTGTCCTTGAATTCAGTGGGGCCCAAATTTCACCCCACAGTTACACTGATGCGCAAAGCAAGACAGTACAGCGGGTGGAAGGGCACTTCAGAAAAGGACCAACCTCTTAAAATTCAAAAAGCTGAACGCAGCAGCTCAGTACTCACAGAACTCGGGGGCGGTTAGAGCTGGTCCTGTTTGGACAGGCACGTTTTCTCCAGTTAAATGTATTTCAGTTAAAGCAGCTCCTCTTCCTTAAGCTTAGCTCGCGCTGAGAAGGTGACCGGCAGAGCCCCAGTGGAATGAGGTATCCTGCAGCTGCTCCCGCGGCGACACACTACTCGGGGATAAAAATGAGTGTAATTAATTTTTCCAGAGCAAGTAATTTTTTTTTCCCCCCAGAGCAGAGCAACCACCCAAGGAACTCGAGGAGAAAAATGTATTTTTACTGCCTTAGTCACATACAGACAAGCCTAACTCTCACTGAGGCCAGACCTATGGAAAAATAAAGGGGAACAGGACACTACAGACACAAATACCCCCCAGAGCAGAGACACCTGAGGAGCTCTCTCTGGAAAGCAGGGCTGAGCAACTGGAGGACTCTCTCCGAGAGATGCTAGTCAAGAAGCCCTGGTTAAACGTAGTTCATGAAAGCTCTTGAAAATCATCTGAGTCTTTAGAAATGGGACACAAACCCCCCTCTGCCTATCCCACCTCCAACCAGCACCACAGTGTTAGAGCAGACTTTTCACTCCATCCATCCAACACTGCCAGGCAAACCAGAGGAATTGGGACTAGGTGAGCTCACCTTAACGAGGCACAGTGTTCATTACTAAGAAAACACCAAAACCAAAAGCAGCTCCCACACACATACACTTTTGGGGTAGCTATGAACAATTCCCTGTCACAAGGGGGGAAAACCTCACGTACGGGCCCTCGGAGCTCAGTCCAGGTCTGCTTCTACACATCCTTGTCATTAATGGCATGAACAATGAAAGAGAAAGCACTTTTATAATAAAAGCTGAAAGGATGCCCAGCAGTTAAGAGCTGGAAGCACTCCGGAGGCCATGATCAGAATTGATAAACTGAAGAAAAGTTCCAAAAACACTTACAAATCAACAAAAAGAAAAGCAAGGAAAACAATGCAAAGAACCGCACTTGGAAACAGCAAAAACGAAGATCAAGCACACAAATAAGCACGGGGGAAATCTCTCCAGACAGAGGTAATGCTGCGGAAAATCAGGGACTGGACTAAAAACGTGACATGTGTCAGTGTCGTGACACCACAGCTCCAGCTGCAAAGAGCTAAACATCATTCCGTGATTTAAGAACATAAAATTCCTAATTCTGGGCCAGAAGGCCATGCCCAGTGCCAAGTACCACCCCTAAGAAAGTCCCAGACAAACCAGAGGGTCTGGGCAACAAGCGGAGCAGTCAGTGGTGCAAAACAAGAGCAGCTGTTGAAGGTTTCTCCATCCCTGCTCCCCTCCAGGGCCGTTATCAGCTCTCAGCATTTAACAGCTGTTTACAAGGACGACCATCCGTGGGGCTCCCCATTCCAGGAAGGCAAGAGACCACGCAGCCCACTTAATTTGCTGTGAGACGAGGTCAGGCTCTCAGAGAGCGGGATTTCGTCGAGTCCCAGAGGGAAGCTGCCCCCATCCAGGCCTGTGCTAACATCCATGGCTGTCCCACCTGGAGCTGAGTATCTCTCACCCGGCCTCAAGACAGGCACATGGACAAGGAGGCTTTTCCAGCCTTGCATTTCATTTTAGCATCTTCCATCTGGTCACTCCTACATCGCCACAGCAGTGACATCTTAGAGCTAAATTAACAGCTTCCTTTCCCCAAAAATACAATAGAGCTCCTCACCCTGCCGGAAGGGCACCCACGCAGCGACGCAGAACGAGCGCGGCCGGAACCGTTTCAATTCACGTCTTCGTTACCTTTCACAAACAAAGCTCTTCAGCTCAATTTGCCACCAAGCTACTTTGGTGGCCAAGAAGGCCTTCCCACGCGCTGCAGGGCGAGGGATGCTGACCTGGGCTGCCCGTGGGGAACGGGAAGGCTTCCCTCCTCCCCTCTCACCTCCAAACAGCCCCACCGACCTCTGTGATGGGCTATAGCCCATAAGGGTCACCACCCAGCTAAGGGGGCATGCCCTCCCTACCCCAGACAGAATCATTCCAGGCTGAAAGCAACAGAAATCATTCAAACAAGGTGTTGCGACGCGGGCGAGAGCGGCTGTGCCTGCACAGCTGATGCCATACACGCACAGCTGCACCAATCCCTGACCAAAAGCTCCACAAGAAATCCAGCAAGGGGGCAAGACCTACAAATCTTATGCAAAAGCAGGACTTAAATTCCAGGAACATGTAAGATTTCCCAGCGAGGCGAGAGGGTTTGGAGTATTTTTGAGCCAGAGCTTTAGGAACGAGCTGCCTCGCGAACCGCAGCCAGAAGAGCTTTGACAAAGCCTTCGCTAGCACGCGCCGTCTCCTTTCGCAGGGCTGCTTCCCCGAAGATCCCCAGTGTTGTGTCATTTTTCATTTCAGGTGCCAAGAATATCTGCGTGTTAATAAAAAATAATAACTAGCTTGATAGGGAACTGCTCAACAAAGCGCTCGGCAAATCTTAATTAAAGCTGATTCACCTGCCTCAGGAGTGCAAGTTCAACGTTTCTCAGAGGGGAAGGCAGAGCAGTGAGAGAGCTGAGGTGGGTTACAAAAGCCACTGAGGGAGTCAGTAGCAGAGAAGATTAGCACGTAGAAAGGTTATTATCCCTAAATTTATCCCAATAATCCACTGCCTTGCAAATTCTCAGAGCGTAGTTGACAAGCTTTCAACCACACCTGCCCAGCTTGACCACATCTGTCTTTAAACAGTCTTCCATTTCCATGCCAAGTAAGAGTAGACAGAGGGCAGGTTTGGAGGTGCTGGGGAGTTTTCAGGTGTTTTATTGCTCAGGCTGAAGAAACTCTCAACTGTAAAACAGGAGAAGGCGGCAGCAGTAGCACCAGCACCGGTCTTGTGCTGCTTTAGGGGACAGCATTGCGGGTTCAAGGGCTGTTCTGACAAGTCATTAGGAATTGCCAGTTTCCAGCTTATTTCTTTAAAAGGAACGTATTTGTGTCCCTTCAAATCTAGTTACCACGTGGTGACACGGATGGCAGACCCCAGGGACTCGCAGATGCTGCTCTCACCTCAGTTAGCTGCACTCCGATATTAAAAGTTTCTGGGGCAAGATTTTGGATGCTTCCACCAGAGAAACATCTCGGAGGCTGCTGCAAAACACCAACACGGTCCAGGCTGGTCATTTGAAGGCAGGGTTGGTGGAAAGGGAAAAGAGGGAAAAAAAGGAAGTCCATCCCTTAATAACACTACTCCCAGAGCACAAAGGAATCCAAAAATGTTCCCTGGAAGCGTTCAAGGCCAGGTTGGATGCGGCTTTGAGCAACCTGGTGTAGTGGAGGGTGTCCCTGCCCATGGCAGGGGGTTTGGAACTGGATGATCTTTGAGGTCCCTTCCAACCCAAACCATTCTGTGATAACAGGATCAGACAGAGCCGAAACACTGAGGTAGCATGCTGGGTAAAAGACAGGGAGTGTCACAGAGACTTATCTGCACTTTAAAGGTTTCCTACCCGGCTGGAGCAGCCTCCTGGCACAGAGAGAGCTCTACCAACAGAAGTGCCTGTGCAGATTACACTCTTTTGTCAAGCAAATTCAACAGTATCAGTGAAGTCACACTTTCTGGGTTAGTTCTGGCAGCAAAACACTGTAAAAATAAATAACTTGCCCCTAAGAAACTGTGTCTGCAGAACTTGTTCGTGTAAACTTAGGCCATCTTGAGGGGCGGGTAGCGTTGATTATTTGTCAAAGAATACTTCTAACACGAGTGTTAGTCAACTACTGAAGTCAAACGTTTTAAGGCAATATTCCAAACAGTGTTTATATAAAAAATCCCATTTGCTCAGTTTTCACTCCCTGGCTTTGCACAACATGTAATTTCACTAGTTCACCAGCAAGAGAGCCATATGCAAGCTTGTACAAAAATAATTAAACAGTTTTACAATTCAGGCCTCGTGTTACCAAGCGCATACCCTGAAGGAAAATCCATTTTATCGGCCCAGAGTCACACCAAAGCTACCCAGGCCGCTTTATTCCCAGCTGCAAAGGGGCCTGAGGTCAGCCAGCCCGTCCTGGCGCTCGAGGCAGAATCCAAACCGCTCCCGTTGTGCTGAATTCGTGGTTAAAACCCTTCAGTGT